GGGGGGGGGGGGCAAGAGAAGGATTGGGATTACGGGCAGGGGGATGCTGAGAAATGATGTAAAGGGTAAACAAAGGAGGAGGCTGCAATGCTTAGTAAGAAATATACGCATTATCCTGCCCATGCAATTGTAACCCCTCTGTACAATATGTTCACAAATAAAATTAAATTAAATTTAAAAAAAAGAAAACTTACAAATTGTAATCTTAAATTAAGTGCAATTTTTATCTTAGGTAATCTGTTCTAAAACCCATAGGAGGAAAGAACAGAGAGAGGAAGGAGGAGGAAAGGGAAGGACAAGAGTGGCAAAAAGCCAGAGACAGAAACAGAGAGAAACATCCTATGAGAGAATCTGCATTATTACAAAAGTAAAATATGTGATCAGGAATATTCAAGTCTCGAACAAAACAATTCTAAGGATCATGTAAAAATATTAAACTTTGTAAGAAAAAAGCTAATGAAATTCAGTAGAGGATTATACAACAAGCTAGTGTGCAGGCAGGAAGTTAATATACTTAAAAATTTAGAAAAATGATTGAGAAACAGAAGGGATAATAGGATTAAGTGCAGATTAAATGAGAAGGACCAAAGAGCTATGAGAAAAATTCTCATTTAAATGGTGTTCACCACTGCTGAAGGCTACCACTACTAGAAAAAGAAACCATTGACTTTTATTCACTGAGAGAAAAATTTCATCATACAAGTGAATATAACAATGGAAAGTTCCTATACATTTATATCAAACTTACCATATACTAATCAAACGTATGAGTTCAATCTTAAGAGGCTTATTTCTTCTATGTCTTTTAACCCTAAAGCCTTGTACAGTATTTCTATTGGGCATTAACAAGATGTAAGACTTGGAAAAAAAAGCACAACCTAGGAACTCTGCCTCAGAGGCAAAGATGGAGAAGACCTCCACAGCCACCAGGACCTTCCCCTTGGCACTGTGGTAGACAGGCAGGAAGGTGACCCACACACTGTAGCACACTAGCATGCTGAATGTTAGGAACTTGGCTTCATTGAAGGTGTCAGGCAGGTTCCTGGCCAGAAAAGCCATGGTGAAGCTGGACAGGGCCAGAAAGCCAAGATATCCCAGGACACAGTACAAAGTAGTGAGGAAGCCCTTGTTGCACAGGATGATGATGTGACCATTTCAGGGTGTGCATCTGTGCCACAAAGGGAGGAGAAGTTCCCAGCCAGAGTCCAAAGAGGGTCACCTGGATGAGGGTGCAGATGGGGATGATGAAGTTAGGAGCCCCTGATACCAGCAGCAACCTCATCCTTCTCCCTGGGGAAGTGACTTTGAAGGTCAGAAACACCATCAGTGTTTTGGCCAACACTGTGGATACTGCCACAGTGAACACAATTCCAATTACTGCACGATGCAGGTGACTGTGCTAGGTCAGCCAAGAAACAGCAAGGAACAGAGAAAACAGAAGATTAGCGACATGAGTAGGATGTAGCTGAGAGTCCTGTTATTGGCCTGGACAAGGCAGTGTCATGGTGTTTCACAAACATCCCAAGAACAACAGCAGTGAGCATAGAGAAGCAAAGAGCCATACAGGCCAGAGCCATGCCCCAGGGATCTCCAAAAGCCAGGAAACTTGCAGCTCTCAGGAGGCACTGAGTTCTCAGTGTGTTAGCATACTGATGATCTGGACACTTTACACATTGGTCCATATCTGATAAGACGAGCAAAGTACCATTACTTCTTGGTTTGAGCTTCCTTTTTTTTCAAAGTTTTTAACAAATTGTTTATTTGGATGTATTCCTAGGATAATCTACCATAGTGCCAGCATTAACTTTCACAAAGATATTTTTGTTTCTTTTCTAAACCATTACTTCTTCCCACCGACAACTTCTTCATCATTCAAGCTTTTTTCAGATTTTTCCATTCAAGTATCATCACAAGTATTGATAATGTGCTATTTGAAGTATTCTAATATCCTTGTAACAATTTTCTACAGTTTTTCTCCCACTTACTAACAGAATTGTGCACATTTCTGCAATCCTATTGAAAACTGTAAATAATGCAGCTTACATTTCCCGACACATCTCTGTAAAACATTAATTTTGTTCCTGTGGCATAGTCCTTGAATTCATCTCATTATATTGCTTAATCCAACTCATCTGTGAAGCAGTAGAAACAGAGCAACCACTCTTGGACACTCTGTAGTCATACTCCCTTCTAAAATAGAATCCCCCTTTCTGAGCTCTTGCTCCATGTCATGAGCAGTTCTGGGTACAGAGAAATGAATCTATGCCAGTTCCATGTTTTCTGTGTGGAAAAAATGTAATTTCCAAGATGATCATTGTTCTCAATAAGATTTGTGTTTATTGTCATGTTATAGTATTACTTAAAGGTGTAATTCAAATCCCTGATCTGCCATACTTCAACCAGCAATACAATTCACTACTTACTAAAATTGAATTATTCACAGACTACTGAATTATTCAGTAGTCCTAAGACAACTTTTGTACTGCCTTGGTTGGATTGAGGAAAATAAAGGGGAGATGAAAAAATTTCTTCATAAGTCATGAAGAAGTCCCATCAGCAATATCATTCTCTGGGTAAAGTTTACAATCAAAACAACAAGCAGCCTTTCCCTCTTGAGGAGATGTCCTGAATCCAGAACCACAACTGTCACTGCAGGCAGAGTGAGGAGCCTGAGGAAAATCAGGTCTATGCCAGTAACTAACACTACAAAAAGCTTTAAAGTTTTAAAGAATTGTATTTTTAAGCTTATGTTTCTATACAGGTGAGTGAAGTTGATTAATTAAATTCTGAAATTGATTCCATAGTCCATGGTTTCCAAAGGCTATCTACACAACAGTGATTTCTAGCCTGTTGAATTATTCAAAAGTATGGGATCTTCAAAAGGCTGAATGTAGTGGTGAAAAAGTAATATCTAGTGAAAAGCCTTGTGGGATTTCCCTGAATTCATGTCATTATATGTTGTCTCCTACTCATCTGTGAAATCGGGAAGATCAAGGAGGAGCCATCCCTTTTAGAGTGTTATGTGAACCCCAGGACCATCCTATCTTCCTTTTCAATTTCCAGTGGCCATGAAGACAGAATCTTCTCACAGGCACATTCAATGATTACTCTCACCAAAGATGCCCAAGTGGCAGGTCAACTAACCATTGAATGACAGCTCCATCCACAGGAGGAAGCAAAAGAAACCTCTCAACCACATAAAGTGATTCTTCACATAATCTAACACAGTGTTAGGAACCAATAAGTAATGTATAAGTTATATTTTAAGAATATTATGTCAACATTGACAAACATATGTAATGTGTTTGGTACTGATTGCAGAGTTTGAACTCAAGCTCTGGGCACTGGCCTTCAGTTTTTGTGTTTTTCTGTTTTTGTTTTTTAAAACGTTTTTTCTTTTGAAAATACTGTATAGAAGGGTAACAATTACATGAGAAAGGTAATAATTACATTTCTTAGCAGGCATTGTTGCCTCCTCCTTTGAATTTCCCTTACCATCCATGACCTCCCATCTCCAGGACTACACTCCCCCCATCCATTTCCACCCTCCCCCCTGCCAAAATTGTAAAGGTTGTTTTTCAACATAGAATTTTGTACATCTCATTGTTGTAATGGGTCCACCAGTATCCCTATTTAAACAATTTGTATTTTTCTATTTCCCTCCACAAATTTTACCAACATCAAAACAGTGGAAACAGGGGTTATACTATGGGGGAGGGAAATACAAAGCAACAAAACAACCATATTATAAATATGTTAGAAACAATACCAAGAAAGAAAAAAAAACTTGTGTCATTCACTTGGGGTTCATTCCGCTTAACATCATCTTATTTGAACTTCTCCGCTTGTTAAAGTTATTGTAAATAAGAGAAACCATGGGACCTATGTTTCTTCGGGCCTGGCATACTTCACTTTATATCATTTTTTTCCCAAGTCTTTCCATTTCATAAGAAATGGGGCAATGCCATTCTTTCTGATGGAGGCAAAGAATGGACTGTGTATATATACCATATTTTCTTTTTTTCTTTCTTTATTTTTTATTGTGAAAATACCGTACAGAGGGGTTAAAATTACATGAGCAAGGTAATGAGTACATTTCTTATCAGGCATTGTTGCCTCCTCCCTTGTTTCCCCTTCCCTTCCCTTCCCACAGCCCCAGCCGCCCCCACCCCACCCCATCCCCGCCCAAAGGTGTAAAGTTCGTTTTTCTTTTTCTTTTTTATTGTGAAAATACATGGGCAAGATAATGAGTACATTTATTTTTTTTTAATTTTTATTTTTATTTTTTGTGAGCATACTGTACAGAGGGGTTACAATTACATGGGCAAGATAATGAGTACATTTATTTTTTTTTAATTTTTCTTTTTTTCGTTTTTTTTTCGTTTCCATTTTTTAAATTTTATTTGTGAACATACTGTACAGAGGGGTTACAATTACATGGGCAGGATAATGCATACATTTCTTACCAAG